TTCATCATCACATGTGTGAGCTTTGCAACATCTCCAAGCCATTTTCACCTTCATGGCATATGTTGCTCACACACATGTACCTGTGGACTAATCACCTGTGTATCTCACATAAACACAATTAGTCCACCTAGGTTGTCACTCAATTACCAAAACCACACAAGGACCTTTCACATGGCCAATGGGGCATAGCTTGGTTACACTGTTTTCCCTGTCCGTGTCGGTTAAGGATCGGCCATTGCATTGGATTCTAGTCAGGTCACAGACTTATTATCCTAAGCACATACTTGTTTATGAGAGCAGGGAAGGCTCGTTGCTCTCTTGTCGTGGGTTCCGGCTCTATTCGGACCGACTGATTGGAGGCAGGAATGGTGGAGGTCTAAACACCACACTGAGTCCAGGACTCAGGTGTGGGGGCTTGGAGTCCAAGTTTGGACGGGGACCTAGACCCCTTGATAGGAGAGTGGTGGGTTGGTCCTACTTGTGCCTGGGGTACAAGCGGGGCGTGTGTTTCAGGGTACCCAACTAGGCTATATTGGTTCACGAATCGCCGTGTAATACGGTACGACTTGTCTACTATCTAGCACCATAGTAAAAACTGGAAGATGAAAGATGGTGAAATGGATCTGATTGCTCAACTCTTGCTTGAAAGTAGAACAGGTGCTTACATAGAATGGTTAGCTAATGAACTAATCAGGATTGTTAATAAGAAACATACATAAGGATTCACTACTAGTAATGCTTTTTGCAAAAAGGAAACCCATCAAACCATAAAGCCTATCATATCCTTTGGAGTCAGGAAATTATTCCCACTAGTCGGGTAAGTCTTGCGTGTACATTGTGTACTCAGGGTTTATTTACCCCTGTTGCAGGTGCAGCTTAAGGAATGGCTATTGTGTGGAGGATTCTTCTGGTAGGCACAGACGGATCCTTGTATCCTATCATTAGATGTTTAATTTAATTTCGATGTTAAATTCCACACTCTGAACTTGGTATTGTAATAATGTATTTTTGAGAACTCTTGTTGTATGAAATGGACTAAGTATTGTAAACTCGTTCTCATTATTGGATCCTAGAGGAAAAACATGGATGGTTTGAGTTCTCCCTTGGGGTGTGCTCGACGGAACCGTTCAATGTAACCAGCTTTCGAGGTGCTTAGTGTCTGGTGGAAGACGAGCGCCTCCGGAAGGTGTGTTATTTCGGGCGGTTTTGCCACACCACGTGCGCCTGAGTCGTGCGGCGACGCACCGCAGCGGCATGGTCGCGTCAGCGACGACAGGGAGGTGGTAGCGGTTCCACTGGTGTGCACAAGGTGGAGAGGGAGGCAAGGCGAAGCTAGTGGTGAAGGCGAATTGGCTCGGAAGCGACGGTAGGAGGGCTGCCCTCGACCATGGCCGAGCGCGGCCTTAATGGCATGGCGGCGGGGAAAAACTCCAAATTGGAGCTTGGCCATGCTCGCTTCAAGGTTGGGTAGGGTCGGGGGGTCTGGTGGCTTAATGGAGAAGTCAGGAACGCGATGAATCGGGCGATGGTGACTCAACCATGCTGAATTAAGCGAGCGGGGTCGGCCGGTCACGGTGGCAGAGAGAGAGGAGTAGGTCTGGCTCGGCTCATCCTCGCCTTAGCGGCAAGCGGTCGGCCAGACCCGAGGCAGCGTCCGCGCACCCACTATGCGATAACGCGGCCAGACCACGTGCGCGCGCGGAGGCAGGTGGGGGAGCGGCATGTGCAGACGTAGTGCCATTAAGGCGAGGCGACAGTGCGAGGCAGCCGGGACAGCCCACCTGCGCGCGGGGACAAGTCGAGCGGCAGCGCAGCACAGCATCACAGTGGCGTCGGTAACGGCAACGCGAGGCAGTGCAACAGTGCGGACGCGACGACGAGGTGATGGCACCGGCAGTGGCTCCGTCGCGGCGCGGGGTGGGGCAGGCGGCTCCGCGCGGCAGGGCCAGCGGCGGCCGGGTCGCAGCCAGGCCAGAGGCGGCCACGGCCGACCACGCACGGCAGCGCGCGCACGCGCAACCAGTGAGGTGACGCCGAGCGCCCGAGCCTGGTGACCACGTCCATTATGGCTGTGTATATCCTTCATGGATATAGAGGCTGGATTAATGAAAATCCATTATCTAAAAAAAAGACTAAGCTTTGCCCTTACAATGTCGAGTGGTTGCACCATAAAATGAGTTAGATAAGTTAAAACATCAACTCAGTCTTTAATTGAGACAAGGCAAATATCTTTCACTTTAAACCCAAATTCCAGCCACACCTCCCCAAAACCTATATGTTCATTTAGCTTTCACCTAAAATCCACCGCTCACATTGAAAACCATTGCATTTGTAACACAAGTACTAGAAAAATAGTGAGTAACATGCCCTAACAGTACTAATAACACGATAATTGCTTGATCAGAGCACATGTCTACTAAGTAATCCTTAGGTCATTAAGGCAATCAAGGGTGGGTATCCAATGAGGTTTTAGCTAGTAAATAAAATACTTTCAACCTATAAAGCCTAAACGCAATATATTAAAAACAAACTCTAATGTTTGTATTTGAAAAATAGGATTTACAAGATCAAGCTGATTCAAGTGGACTTGTCTTCGTCGTCGTTCTCATGGAACTTTCGCCCAATGTTCGGGTTCTCCAGCTCCAGCTGGCTTCCGTCGTCTAGTTCACAATAATTGTACTTAGTGGAATATCATGTGGCACTTAGTGGAAGATGACGTGAGCGTGACACCTAGTGGAGATGATGTGGTATTTAGTGAGAATGATACGTGGATAACTTGTATGCAAAGATTGAAAATTAGTAGGGTTTATTTTTATAAGAGATATATAGATATAGATCGGGGATATCGTCTTTCTTCCACTTCAGAGAGATGTCCGTTGATGTTCCAAGAGGATGCATATTGAAATGGAATCCATGAAATATCAACAAGATGCCTCCTATCAGATTATCTCCTGCTATCGATCAAAAACCAGAACAGCACGACTAGCGTCTGGACGTCCCAGACGGACGGGGTGTTTGGACGCCTGCGCCTGCAAGTCGTTTTCGCGTCGTTTCACGTGCCCACACGGGGCCCGTGTCAACTCGAGCATCAACACCATCGAGAAAGAGGGGGTAGCGGGCGGCGGATGCCTAGTCGGCGCCAGAGGAGGAAGAGACACCGATGCGAGGCAGAAAAAGCAAGGAGGGAGATGCAACACATCCGATCTACTTTTAAAACATCCAAATGCAATAATTGCAACATACGTCGGAAGGTAGATGAAATACTTGAAATATGCATATGAAACACTTGCTGCAACACCAGATCTACTTTTGAAACATCTAGATAAAACACTTACAACATACGTACGAAAACAACTTGCAACATCCAGATGAAACACTTGCAAACATATGTTGAATAAAACAGATGAAACATTCGGAACATACACCTGAAACAGACATGTATAGCCATTGCAACATGTGCAACATCTCGATCTACTTTTGCAACATCAAGATGAAACACTTGCAACATCTAGATAAAACATCTGAAACACTTGAAACATACCTCTGCAACATGGGCTTTCAATGCAATGTCATCTGGTTGCTTGGACGAATGGAGGCTTGTCGTTGTTGAGCTCGACGGCGGCACATGGAGCTCGTCGTGCGCTAGCGGAGCGGGCAACTCGCCGACAGGATGGCTTCACACGAAGCTCACCCCCCTTCACTTGCTTGCTGGAGCAGCTGCGGCTCGCCAGATCGGTGGAGGCGACCACGGCGAGCAGGCAGCGCGGCCGCGGCGAGCACGGACGCACGGTGGAGGCGGGCGCGCGCGACGGGGGCACCGCGGAGGAGTGCTGCCGCAGCGAGCATGGGCACAGCAAGCACGGCGGCACGGTGGAGGCGGGCGCGCGCGACGGGGCAGCACGGTGGGAGCGGGCTGCGCGGTGGATGCGGGCGATGGGGATTTTATTTTTTCGGCTAGGTGAGGACGAGAGGGAGCAAAGGCGCGTTAGCGAGTGAGAAGCGTCCGTCCTGACGGACGACCGGGTGGAATCATTATTGAAACCTGAATCATCCAAATGAGTGCATCGAATGAAAGCACAGCACACATAAGTATATGGAATCACAGCGGTAGTAGGGCACCAAGATCTAGTCGGATCCCTTGGCTACAGGCAACACAACCTACAGGTTTGCCTTGCTAACTGGCTTAGTGTTTGGTGGCTGGTGGGTAATAATAGCGTAAACAATAATTCCGATGTGACAGGAAGCGGAATGGGAAGAGAGAACCGTGCGCTCTGCAACCTGAGGAACGGACTGTCCTGAATCTGAAGGAACAGGCTCCCCCACGGTGTGCCTCATTAGTCACTACACAGCGCCCAACCGCTTTCGGTTACGTAGTCGGCTGCTCTGTTAATATAGTGTCCCCTCTTGGCCTCTTTATGCAGAGGAACGAGGAGCACCTCAGCTTCAATTCAAGACTGTAGACTGATGTCTAAAAACCATGTGAAGCTGTCATTGGTGTCTGACAACTGACATACTATAGGGATGTAACACAGCCCAGCAACTGCAATAACGAAGGACATAGTCCAGTCCACAGGGCAGTTGAAATTTTGTGCAGCTTTACTTAGAATGATTTTTTTTCACTTCTATTTAATAATATAAGTAGTCATGAGTGGCACAGCCTTCGATAATAAGAATAGGCATCAGCCTACCACGTTAAACAGGTCATTAACAGAACTGTCAGAACAGAACATCACCATCAGTCAGAAATGAAGACTTGGTAAACAAAACATTGCATTGAACTTTGGAAGACAGGTGAACGAGCAGGCGTTTATTTGACGCAAAAGGTGCAGCTAATTCCTATAATAGGAACCAGCCAGCGCTGCCCAAAAACTCGCAAAAAGGAACCAAAGTGCTTGGAAACCTAGTACACATAACTCAAATACACGACTAACAATGCGAATTGCGGTGAACAATCGAGACGCAGCCGATGGTTCTCCGGCTTGGGGTTCTTCTTTCCCACACTAGTCGTAGGACAATGGAACAGCACTTGCCTGGGTTCAAGAAAGAGATGCATTAGTAAATCCGCTTGCTTAAGACTGCTGAGAAATGAACACTGGATGTTACACATATTCTCTCTAGCAGACATCAAATAACTTACCAGGCTACGGTATTTCAGAGCATAGAACATCTCAAGGTAGCGGCGAGTCTCGCGCCTCTCCAGATTGCTCACATACTTCCAGAATCCGTATACACCAGTCAGGGTCATCAGCCTCTCGGAGTAGAGCTTCCAGGTGTACCTGAGCAATCCAAAGCTTATAGTATCAGGATTTACTCCTAACAAGAGAAGGTAACACAAATTTCAGAGTGTTAGTGGCATGGAATGATAGTGTTCGTAACCAGAGAAGGCTACAAGGGTAACACTAATATCTAAGTGCTCAACTCTATAATATCTGATTACGAGAATTAATCAGATGCGGCATTTGGTCAACAAGAATTCTTCAGTGTATATCTATTTATATCATATATGGCAGAAGAGAGAATTTCATACTTCTCATAAATTCTCTGCAGTCCACCCTGTGAGATCTTGTCCCAGTAGCTTGGATCTGACTTGCACTTCTCAAAGAAGTTGACCAAGATATCTGCAGCCTTGTCACTGTGGTAAGGATCAATGTGCAAACCAGACACCCCGTCCACAATGATTTCAGCAGGACCACCATGGCAGGTTGCAATTGTTGGCAAACCGCACGTCATGGACTCAATGACAGTCAGGCCGAATGCTTCATAGAATGCAGGCTACAAAAACAAAGCGATAAAATAATTTAGTCCTGCACAGGCTCTATGACTGTCGTTATCTGAAAGTAGATTGCACTGTTGTTGGAACTTGGAAGTGATTTATTAGATTAAGTGCGTATACGTACCTGCACAAATGCTCCCTTCGTGTCACAAATGTAGCGGTACAACTCCGCATTGCGGACACGGTTCATCTGAGCTGAGATCCACCGGATATGGCCCTTCAAGTTGTACTCATCAATGAGACTGTACATCTTCTTGAACTCTGCCTGCTCCTCCCTGTCCTTCGATTCCTTGCCATGGTCACCAGCAACAATCACAAGGTTTGCCAATTCTCTCAGGCGTGCATTCTTACCATACATCTCAACCAAGCCTGTCATGTTCTTCACACGGTCAAGACGAGCCATTGAGAAGATGATCGGCTTGTTCTTGTCCTTCAACACAAACCTGGAAGCAATTAAATACCAGGTGTTTAGGTGGAAAACTTATTTATTGTAAATGTCACAAATGGACGGACATGCAGATGAGTGTTGGAATATTTACAAGCTGATTGACTACAAGAAGACATTCAATCAGTTCAGTACTCACTTGTGCTCATTGTTCTCAACATCGCTGTAGATGAGCTCCTCAATTTCAGGATGGAAGGCAGTGAGTCTCTTGTCAGTTTCAGTGTATGGGTAGTAAACACTCATGTCTGCTCCAGGAGAGACAATGTTGAATTTGGGATCAAAAACATCAATGCCATGGACAACACGGTAAAGTCCAGGAAGAGTGAACGCAATGTGGGACTCATACTGCCCCACAGTGTCCTTGCTGCAGAAATAACAGAGAAAACATCAGATACTAGTTTAGTTACTACTACAATACAGCGAGATTCTAAAGATAATATACAAAACTTACCTTCCCGCTATTTCTTGGAATGTACTGGTGATGATGAAATCAGTGTGATTCATGGCAATAAGGTCAGCTGTGAACTGGCATGAGAAGTGGTATTGGCTGTCAAATTTGTCCAAGTATATGTCTGAGTTGGGATATTTGGTTTTCTCCAAGGCATGGGCAATGGTACACTGCAAGTATGTACAGAACTATTAAGCATTTGGAGAATTTAATAATTTTATAAAGAACTCAATTACTCATGTACAGCTAAAGAGACCTGAGTAACTCCCAACTTGTGCGCGAGCAGAGTGGCGACTAGGTTGCCATCACTGTAGTTGCCAACAATAAGGTCAGGCTTGGCCTGCATTTCTAACATTATTTCACTGGCAACATCCTGTAGCACAGAATGCATAACTTCAGTATTGCTCAAACAAGCTATGCTGTGTAGGACATTCAGTCAGATAATCTATATACCTCAGTGTATGTCTCCAGGTATGGCCAGACATCAAAACGAGAGATCCACTTGCGGAGAATACCATTCTCATTTCTGAATGGAATACGAATAATGTCTGTGTGCTCAGTTCCAATGACCTTCTCCAGCCGCTGACCGCACGTAGTCCCAACAGCATCAGGCAACAGCCTGGTAACCTGCACAAATAAGATTATGTAGGCACATTTAGTGAGTAAATCAAGACACGACAAAAAGGGTTCAGAAGGCGAAACATGGTCTCAAACATGAAACATACAATGAGGATCTTCGGGGTGATGTCAAGGCCTTGCTGCTTAATCCTAAGAAGCATCTCATTCTCCAAAGCACGGACTTGATCCAAAATGTACACAACCTGAAAAACGATTGCAAATGAGAAACCTAAAAGCTACAGTAGCTAAAAGAAAAATAATCACTAAGCTTCTGTACCTGACCACCAGTGTCAGGGTATCCAAGCACATTGGATTGGGCAAAGTAGCCATGAGGAGACAGGATAACAACATTGAACATCATTGGTATAGTTCCAAGGAACTTCTCCAAATTGGCAGGATCAGGGGCCTCAAGAAGGTCAAGAAGCAAGTGGAGTGTGTCAAGTACGCGCTTTGCAGTGTCACCCCAACCCTTCTCCAAGCCAAGCTCTTGGAACCTAATGCAGATCATGGTGGCATTACAAGCAGTTAATCCATTTGCTAGTTCAATCAAAGTTAAATGGCAAGGACAATTTATTGATCAATCACCTATGGTTGAACTCTGAGTAGGGAGTGTCTTGAGGGACACTCAGTAGATACTCTTCTGCCTTTCTAAGGGAGGACTGGAGCCAACGAAGGCTCTGAATTCTGTCATTCAACATCATCGTCTGTAACAGAAAAAAAAAGGACTTACAAACGAGGGAGTTGGGTGGCATCATTAAATCCATTTTCAGGTTATGTAAAGTTTCTAAATAAAATTAAATAAATATTGTCATCATCCATTGTGAAGCATGCGCTGGGAAGATTCTGGACTGTAAGCTCACCGTGCCCTTGTAGTTATGGGCTTTGAGGAAATTCAGCAACGGGTACAGGCTCTCCTTGTCCTGGAACAACTTGGAAGACAGGTGTCGGTTAAGGAATTGCACTCCATTTCCAATGGACTTTGACATGGAAGGACGAGGGAACGTGGCATTGAAGGGCTCAAAATCAAGCTCAAGCACAAAGTTTCTGTTGGAACTGGTATAAGGAAAAGGAGGTATGAAATTAGTACATATACAAGTTTCTATAACTAGAATCTAGAGATTAGCCTATAAAACTACAAAGAATTCATCGAAGAACTTACTTTCCATCCACCAGCTGTTCCTTGAATGTCAAGTACTCAGAAACACTCAGCTCCTCCACAGCCAACTCACTTACATTCACTCGAATGTAATCCCAGACACCAGGCCTTGGCCTGATAGCAAGTGCAACCCATGGGGGCAGCACAATTGCTTCCTATATGCAGACAAGGGAAATTAGAATGAGTCCCTGATTTCAATTGGCAAGCACTCAAGCAGGCATCTCAGCAGTGTTACCTGAGCAGCACGAAGAAAGTCTTCAAAGGGTGCATACTTCTCCTTGTCACTATCAAGCAGGGCATCAAACTCAGTAAGCAGTTGATGGCGCTCAAGCATTCCCTTGCCCTGGTTAACATACCTGTAGAAGTGATATTTCACAAATAAAATGGATGTTACATCTCACATCATGTACCTTTTTCCCTGTTGTGGTGGACATCTCATATCCTACTTAGATCTGAAGGATGTAAGTATTAAATGGCACTGTGCCAACTAAAGAAAAACAATCTGCCAAATGATGTACCACAAACTATACTGTCTTATCAACTAAATTGTACTAATCAAACCAAAAGGCTACAAAAACTGAAGAACAGCAACACTATGCTTTACAATCAATAATCAGTATATATGACCAATACGAGTCGAGGATGAATATGTAACATCCTTGGCAATTAGCATGAATGATGGTGTCAACAAAAGAAACCAAGAAAGAAGTTGCATATGCTCGCTCGTGTTTACATTTGGATGTGCTATTAAGATAGGGATGAAGAGAATACCAAATTAACAAATTTCAGTACAGGAAATGAAATGCAGGTTACATATTTTGGTATGCCCACCTGGAAAAGAGTGCAATCAGCTCATTGGGATGAGAGGAGATGGTGGCACCAAGGCGTTCGCGGAGACTGTGGAGGCGAGTCAGCTTGGCAGCCATGGCTCAATGATACTCAATACTGCAATTCGAGCTATACAGTTAAGATTCAGCAGCACCACTTGTACAAGAACAAGAAATCAAGAGCTACCACTTAGAACTTAGAAGGCTCACTGAAAAAGTAGGTCATGCTAAAGCAACCTAAATTTGAAAAAAAAAATGTAGTATGCAGCTATAATATTTGATTTATCTCGAAACACTTAACAAGATAGAATAAAAAAAGGGCAGACCCAGTGCCAGTGCCAGAGGCTCCCACAATCCTATAGCAAAATAGTCATGATAAAGCAGGCACTTATCCCCACCCAAACAAAAGCAAGTATTCAGTATTGATCCTCCACCAAACAAAAGCAAGTACTGATTCCGCACGAGCACTTAGTTATCTGATAATATTTTCAAAGCAGAAAGGAACCAACTTGATTGAGTTAATTTTCTGTCTTAAGAGTATTGATGCCATTCAGACCCTAAAACCGACTAAGAAGCAGCCAAAAACCGGTGAAAATAAGAGGATTTGGCTTCACAAATTCCTACAGTAAGGACATCAATCAAAATGTGAAATATTGAAAAATCCAACAAGATGACTTTTCGTAGTAAATAAAAGAAACAAAAAAAAAAAAAGCTTTTTTCGCGCTAATAATCCACCAAAACGACAAATACATTCCTCGGAAAGAAAAAGAGGTGAGCACGGCACGCAATAACAGCAAGATCTCAAGCAAACTACAGAGCCTAGAACTTCTACAGTATCCATGTGTGAATCCAAGTTTACCACCACCACCAAGTAAAATCCTAAGCTCAAAACCCCCAGAAAAGGACGGCGGAAAGTGTTAGAATATATATGTGTTGTGCGTGTGTATATGTTGGGTGTGTGCCTGGTATAGCCGGCCAGCCCTATATATGGTTAGAGAGATATCAGGAGGAGATCTCGGGTCCTATTTCTATAAGCCACCAGATCTCCTCTCCTATGTATATGTACATAGGTCTCTCCAATCAATTCATCTGTGATTCCACGCAATCCTAATTGCTTTCAGAAAGCTCTGCGCCCAGTATCGGAACGGTTTAGATCAGAGAAATCTAAAAACCCAAGAACATGTCAGCAAAGCCCAGACAAGATTCAGCCATTCAGGCGGTGACGCACCCAACGAGTCACGGAAACGCACGAAAACCGGAAGAAATGGCGGGGCAAGGAGACAATTAAGGCGAGTGATTGCGCTCATCAAGACACGATCTTTTCTACCGCCGCCCAGCAAAACACCACCCAGGATTACCAGAGGACGAAGGTTTAGTACGGAGATAAACAGAAGAGCGACATACCCAAATGGTCAACAGGGAGCAGTCCAATGGAGGAGGGTTTGTCCGGGACGGAAGAGGAACCAATAAATAGAGGGGGCAGCTGCTGTAAGCCGAGGCAGGCTCCCAGCGCTGTGCGTGAGGTGCCGAGGTGGTGGTAGCTAGCTGTGGTGCAGATGGTAGGGCCCACCTTCAAGCTGACAAAGCTGGGAATTAAACAATGGATAATGCCAAATTACTATACTTAAAAAAATTTGAGAGAAAAATATTATTTATTGGTGGGAAAAGTATGGCTTTAATGGTGCGGCAAAAGCATCCAATATTCTAATTAGGGCCGCGTTTAGTTCCGGCCGGATTCGGTGCCGCCTGAATTCGGTAGCATTGTAGCGCACTGTAGTGTTTTATTTTTATTTAGTAATAATTGTCCAATCGTTGATTAATTAGGATTAAAATGTTCATCTCTCAAAGTACAACTAAACTGTACAATTAGTTTTTGATTTCATCAATATTTAGTACTTCATACATGTACCACAAATTTAATATGACGAGAAATCTTTTTTTTACGTAGCGCTAAAGTTTAGATTTTGGATGAACTAAACATGGCCTAGCTTAGGCTGGCCAACCAGACCAGTGGCCATGGCCGGTTTCGAAAAAGCATGGACCTTTTTTTATGCAGACTCGTACAGTGCTTGTCGGGGTGACCCGTGCAGGTGCAGTGAACGCAGGGAAAGACTGGCTGGGAGAGAGAGAAGAGCAAGAAACGAAAGGAACCCCCAAGGGGAAAAAAAGCTTCTTTCTACTGTGTTATTCTTTTGAGTTCCTAATTTGACCACCGAAATCTCGCGGCTGATTTGGTGAGCAGCAAAAAGCCGGTGATCCGGCACCCAAGATACGATTAGCATTGCAGTCATCATCAGACGCAAACGCAAATGAGATTGTCCGGATTAAAAAAAAGCAGCGAGATATTTTCCCCTCCCTAATGTCATTGGATCAGTAGGTTTGCCCTCCTTCTAGAAACGGCCTGTAAAACATGGGTCTCTCAGAAAAGCCAGAGAAAGCCCGTGTGCAGAAACAACGGGGGGAAACACCAAGAACGTGCCGCAAACAAGTGGGCGAATTCTCTACGAAAAAATCAGGCACAACCATCCCTAAAAATGCATCCAAAAACCCTCCTCCTGAGCTGCGCCCAGTCAGCAGCGCAAGCGACAAGCGGCAACAAGAAAGTTGCCCAGCGCAGATATCGTTTCAAGAACAGAAAGGCATCGGTTCTTGCGAAGATACATCGATGCAGCTGGTCCGGCGCCTGATGAGCTGATGAGATGAGCCGCCAGACGGCACTCGCATGGGGCGTGCCGTCCGCCGCGAGGTTTGGGGCTACGTTCCAAACAAGAACAGAGCTGCCTAAACAAGAAGTGCCTATGCGGTGCGCCGGTGCTGACGTGCAGCCCGTTCACCGATTGATTTTGGACTGATAAACTCGACTGATGCTGATTTATTATAAAAAGAAAATATTGTATGTAGCTGATAAGTTGTGGCCAAAATCAACCAGCGAATAGACTGATGGAAAAGAAAAAATCAAGCGAGGTGGTGACTTGAAGCGGACTGAACAGAAAAAGGAGGCGCTTCTTGCACGAAAAGAAAGAGGCAAACAAGACACAGGAGGAGGACTACAGGAGCGCTCTTGTCATGTCACGGCTAGTCTCAACAGCATATGAGATCCAAACGCTTTACGGGGACGATAATGCTTGATTTGTGTGTACCATTAGAGATCGATCCCGTCACGTTGACAGTTGCTTCTCTCAAGAACGTTTTCAACTTTTCGGCGACTATCTTCAGGATGCAAGAAGAATTAAAATGTGCACTGGGTATTAAATAAATTGAATGACGCAGCCACCTCTGCCACACCAGCAAAAAAAAAAACAGTAGTTTCCGCTAACAGACGTACCACCCCAACCAACGCATGAACAATTCTGGAACACAGTGACCGGCATTGCATCGTAGAGGCAACACGGACGAGACGAGACGAGTCGATGCGTTACCTTCGCAAACGCTGGGACGGCAGAGCACAGGAGTGGCGTCGACAGAACACAACAGAGAACTGGAACAGATGCAGAGAACGCAATGCGGAGGCTAGGGGAGCAGGACGGGAGCAATTCAGGGGTGTTTGTTCTTCTCTTAAACTTTAGTCGATGTCACATCGAATATTTAGACACATACATAGAGTATTAAATATAGATTAATTACGAAACTAATTGCATAGTTTGCGACTAATTTGCGAGACGAATCTTTTAAGCCTAATTAGTCCATGAATTGACAATGTTGGGCTACGGTAAACATGTGTTAATGACGGATTAATTAGGCTTAAAAAATTCGTCTCGTGAAGTACTAACAGATTATGTAATTTGTTTTTTATTAGTATCCAAACACCCCATACGACATGCTCATTTAACCCCTCCTAAATTTTAGTGGCTTCAAACACCCCTTAGGCCTCGTTCACTTTAAAAAAAAAAGTGAACCCGATAAATAGTACCACTTTTTCGTCTTATTTGGTAAATATTGTCCAATCGTGGACCAACTAGGCTCAAAAGATTCATCTCGTGATTTCCAACTAAACTGTGTAATTAGTTATTTTTTTACCTACATTTAATATTTCCATGCAAGCGACTAAAAATTGATGTGATGAAAAAAAGTGAAAAAACTTAGAATTTGAATGGCATCTAAACAAGACCTTATAGCGGCAGCCAGCAGGGAGGGATGCCGGATAAGTCTCTTCCTGTGCTTGTGAAACAAGCCATGACCCGTGATCTGAAAATCCGATCGCCACCTCCGGTTTCCTTTTCGGTTCAATGTACCGAGTCAGGCTCTCCCATTTGTTGACCCACGGCGAGAAAAGGAAAGGCAGGTGAATGAGATGGCATCTTGGCGGCATGTTCTCCCATTTCCTGCTCGGCCAGCCGCCCGCCGCCGGGCGGTTTCCAAGTCCGGTTCCGAAATCAGGCGATGGAGGTGCTGGTTTTGAACACCACGCCGTGATTGATGACCCTTTTTTTAATCTGCAAATGGGCGTGGTTTCCATTTGGGTCATCATCACACCATGGTAGTGTAAGGTGAGGTCAGATCAGGTCAGGTCGTCGTTGGTCGCCGGAGAAACGAAAAGGAATCTCCATTCTACAGCGGGTGTTTCTGAAACGGAGTTTTCTTTAGGGTTTTTTTTGGAAGGTCGCTACGTGTAACTGATACGGAGTTTGTGTTTGTTTGGTTTTTATTATTTCCTTATCTTTACAATAAACTTAAGGTAGAGGGTTTTTCATCCGGTTCCAAATATACGAACTCCATGTCCCGCCCTTACAATGGGGCTCGTTACCCGGTGAGATGGCCATTTTACCTGTGCTTTGGGAATACGGGAAATGCGGGGAGGTTTTTTTCACACTGTCAACAGAAATTCGCCTGACCAAGGATTTGAACTCTGATCACGGAGAACGCCACCTGGAGGCTTAACCAACTGGTCTAGCAACCGTAGGCTATTTCCTTATAATTATGACGCAACAAAGGAGATATCGACGTATGGCCATGCACACAGTTTACCGTCTTGTAAACACTTCCGACAACGGTGGGGGACATTCTTTCCTGTTATTATTTGAGAGAAGGGGGTGCTAAAATTGCACATACGTCATCATCACAACATTTGAGTACACATTTCCTTTGAAACATAGTAGAAC